CTTTATTCCTTTCCAGACTGGGTCAGGGGACCAATGCACCTCCCTAGCTTTCCGTTAAGACATATTGCAGTTGTCTGTGCTTTTCAGCAATAAAGTTGCTAGTTCATTCATCTTAATTAGAACATCACCTGCCCTGTCACCTTTCAGGTTGGGGTGGTTATGGCTCCAGGGATGACCTTCTCATCTGAAAAAAGATGTCCTAATCCTGCCTCTAAAAACATCCCACAATGTTATTACATTTAAGGGAAAGCACTGAGTGCCTTTGAATTCAAGAAAAATACATTCTTTTAGCTTTTAACCTTTTAAGTTCTGACAATTCGTCACTGAGATTTCATCCAGTTTCATAACGCAATAACAATACAGGCAATTAGATACATATATATATCACATACCACACCTCTGTTTAAAGGAGGCTCTTCTATTAACTTCTCAAAGGAATTATCTGCAAAAAAAAAAAAAAGCAAGGGAACAACATAGACTTAAGCAGGAGATTCTTACAATGGCTATATGTGTTATTCTGTCTAGTACATTCACTGGAAATTATTGTGCAAGGGAGTGGGAATTCATATGCCAGTGTGCCATATGACACCTCTGTTTAAAGGAGGCTCTTCTATTAACTTCTCAAAGGAATTATCTGCAAAAAAGCAAGGAAACAACATAGATTTAAGCAGGAGATTCTTACAATGGCTACGTGTGTTATTCTGTCTAGTACATTCACTGAAAATTATTGTGCAAGTGAATGGGAATTCATATGCCAGTGTGCCATATGATTGTGACACTATAAACTAGTGCTTGCATGGGTCCGATGATGATTTTTCTTTCTCATGGACCATTGCCTGCTTTTGGAGTAGATTGGTTCTCTGTTGCCTTCGTGCTGCTTTTTTGAAGTAGTTTTAAAAGGTTCTTCAGAGTTTTTGGAAAGTGACGGGGGGGGGATGAATGACCTGAAAGAGATTTTTCTTTTCATGTAAAAGGAAAGGAGCAGTCCATAAAAACATTTAAAAAATGAAAGCGTCTCTCTTCCAAAATGAAAGAAATACAAAAATTTTTTGCCATGCACATCCTTATGATGAAATGCAAGGAAAGTGAAGTTCGCAACTGAAAATCTTTCCCTAGCATTACGGCGAATGAGAAGACTGCAACAGACAGTGGATCTGAAGTATCATAAAACACACTGATAGTTTTTAAATATTTGTTGCATTTATACTACTAGAAAGAAGTAGTAAAGCTTCTGGGATTTTTAGCCTTCTACTAAAACATCTTATTTGACCCAACTCCGGGTGACCGTGGAAGGCAGGAGGGCCTGGCGTTCTCTGGTCCATGGGGGATAACAAAGAGTTGGGCACAACTTAGCGACTAAACAACAACAAAACATCTTGGCTGCTTATAGGCAGGGCATGTACTTACTGGGTAAATACTCTAGCTTTGTGAGTTAGATATCTGGGTGCAGACCAGACGTTAGGCAGTTTAATTGTCTGGGCCATCCCTCTCGAAGCAGAAGCCAGATTTACAAGGCCTGATTGCCCAGTACTTGTGATGTCAACCTGTTTTTGCTATGTTCTCACCATCTCTCTCTCTCTCTCTGTGTGTGTGTGTGTGTATGCCATGGTCTAACCCTAATGTAATCCTTAACGTTCCTGGGCTTGAAAGATAACCTTTCAATCAGATTTGACCATCAGTTTTGGGTGAAGGGTATTTTATACACATTTTAAGTAAAACAAAGACCAACCATTTAAAAACCAAAAGTAACCCAGTTTTTCTACAATTTCACTGGGTTGGGTGGATTTGAGAGCTGGCAAGCTCATCAGGCCTAACCCTAATGTAATCCTTAACGTTCCTGGGCTTGAAAGATAACCTTTCAATCAGATTTGACCATCAGTTTTGGGTGAAGGGTATTTTATACACATTTTAAGTAAAACAAAGACCAACCATTTAAAAACCAAAAGTAACCCAGTTTTTCTACAATTTCACTGGGTTGGGTGGATTTGAGAGCTGGCAAGCTCATCACGCAGCCGCCGGGTTAGTCCATTGTCTGCTGAAGCTTCTGTTCCCTGCCCTGGTTTGGGGGAAGTGATTCTGGTTTAAAGGGGGGGTATCTGTCTCCACTTCCACCCCCATCCCAGAGGTTCTTAAATACTCATAAACCATGGGGTGGGGGGACTGGCATGGGGTGCCTTTGGGATTACCTTTGCAGACTTGACAGCAAGAGTCTGGAACGGTTTGGGGTAAGGCACACAACGGCTCTGGGCACGTCACCAAATGGCAGTAGATCTGGCCTTCCTGTGAGACACACAAGTCAACGGCATGCACGGTCAAAAAGGGGGTCAGAGAGCATCTTTCCCTGAGCGCCTTCATGTGCTCCAAAGGTCAAGAAGCACCTGATGGATCAACATGCACATGGACCATCACCCTGGCAGGTATAGAGAGGGGTGCATTTATTCGCACACATTCCTCTGAAGTTTCACGCGTTGTGTTTGCTTGTGCTGCAAACCCACGCCAGTGGTGTACTACATAAATTGCTCTGGGTTCGCCCAGCCTTTTGTCAAAACCACCTCTTTTAACAAAGGGGGACTGTGTCTCCCCCCACCAAAAAAAGAACCCCCAGCAGTATATGGATGGGGATTATAGGAGCTGCAGGTTATTCCATTCAGAAGGCACCATAATGGGAAATACCGTCCTGAATTCTCATAACACTATAGTTCACAGGTTTGAGCAGGAAAAGGGAATAATAATGGGATAGATACTTTTCTCCACTTCTTATACAGGAGGACCCCCCTATCTGCAGGATCGCTCTCCGATGATTCACTTATCTACTGCCTGAAAATATTAAATGCAGTGTATAGTGTTCAATACTTCTGTGTGTTTTTGGGGTTTGTTTTTTTAGCATCTGCGGGGGCAGGCTTGAACAGATCCCCTAAGGATCACACAGTCCTACTGTAACCTCTTAAAGCACTGTCCTTCCAGATATACAAATCTTTCAGTGCTGTGTCTCCCTTAATGAGGCCCTCTGATGATATCCAATTCTACCTTCCATTCCAATCACAGGGCAGCTACCAAAACGACCGAAGCGGTCCAGCCTTGAAGCCCAAAGAAAGTCAGGTTTCAGTTTTCAGATCTTTATCCTCCAGTAGAGGAAAAAAACAAAAACAAAAGGAAAAACTCGGCCACCCTCCTCTGGACATCCTTACAGCTTCTCGATCCCTTTCTTAAATTGCCGTGACCAGAATGGACCCTGTCGGGTCCAGTCCAAGGAGAAAAGAGGGGAACGAGGATTCCCCTGGAACCCAACACTCTACTTCTGTTGATGCAGCCTTGAAATGCATTCGCCTTTTTCGGGATGGTCTCAGCCCCTGGTTAGATCATGCCCTTCACCACTTACGGAGCAGCTGCATTGGGTACACTGGTGAGACTGCCGGGAAGGGAAGAGCTCGTGGTTGGTGAAAAGGTCACCATGTTGGTACGTGGTCCCGTTGTATTGGCAGGAGAAGTTGACTGCTGTCTGGAGTCCAGAAAGAGCCTTAAGCTCTGTGGAAGAAGAGGAGAGGTAAACAGATAGGAATGGCCTTGAAAATACCAAAAATACCTCTATAGAAGGACAGATCCTGAAGCTGAGGCTCCAATCCTTTGGCCATCTCATGAGAAGAGAAGATTCCTTCGAAAAGACCCTGATATTGGGAAAGGGTGAAGGCAAGAGGAGAAGAGGATGACAGAGGACAAGGTGGCTGGACAGTGTCATCAAAGCGACCAACATGAATTTGACCCAACTCCGGGAGGCAGTGGAAGACAGGAGGGCCTGGCGTGCTCTGGTCCATGGGGTCACAAAGAGTCGGACACGACTAAACGACTAAACAACAACAACCTCTATAGAAGTTTAAGGAGGAGGAGGAGGAGGAAGAAGAAGCAGAATCCATAAACACATGGACAGTTCCAGTGATTAGATACACAGCTGGAATAATAGAAGAAGCCATAAACACATGGGCAGTTCCAGTGATTAAATACCCAGCTGGAATAATAGATTGGGCTCAAAACAAATCAGAAGAATTGGATTGAAAAACACGCAAACTAATGAACGTGCATCACACACTAAATGATGTTGACAGATTTACCGCGAAAAATCAGAGTCCATGGATTATTGCAAATACAGCAGATAGTAGATGAAGAAAAAAGAAGCCTAAATGATTATATCAGTACAAGCAGAGAAAAATTACTTAAGACGGTGAAAACAGAATATTTTTAAAACGACAGAAACAACGGCTGAAACAACTGGAAAATAAATTAAATAGCTGGAAAAATAAACCACTAATGTTGACAACATCTGAGAAATATTGATGGAAAGCATGATCCTAATTCAACATGGGCATGGCTAAAACTGGGGACCCTTCAGAAAGAAACCGAAGGCTTGATTTTTGCTGCACAAGAACAAGCACTCCAAACCAGCGTGGTGAAAGCTAAGAACCAAGGAATTAGTGCTAACAGCAAATGTCGACTCTGCCAAGAAAAAGATGAAACGGTGGCACCCCTCATCTGTGAATGTACAAATAGTGCACAAACAGATTACAAAGTTAGACATGATAAAGTGGCAAAGTTATTGTACTGGCTGCTATGCAAAAAATAGAACTCGCCAGACTCCAAAAACTTGTGGGAACATCAGGCAGAGAAGGTGTCAGAAAATGAAGAAGTCACGATCTTGTGAGATTTCTAGATCCAAACAGGCAGACACCTTGAACATTACACACCAGACATAGTAGTAATAGAACGAAGAAAGGTCCGGATTCTTGACATTGCAATTCCAGGGGATGCCAGAGTTGAAAATAAAGAATGGGAAAAACTAACAAAGGACAGAGACCTGGCCATCGAAACATCTCGCCTCTGGAAGAAACACAGTTCTGTGGTCCCCATCGTCATTGGGGCTTTGGGAACCATATCAAGAAACTTCACAAAGTGTTATAAGCAGTTGCAGAGCTCAGAAATCACACCATCTGAGCTACAAAAGCCCGGCAATATTAGGAACCACATACCTACTGCGTCGATAGTTAACAGATACTTAGGTTTTTGGTTAAAATTTGTATCTGTTACATAATACCAGTCAATGTTTTTATGGTTTTGATTGACGTGTACCTGGTGTTTTTGAATAATAACAAAGCAGTTTGCCCACTTCCACCCAGTACCTTCCATGATCTCATAATGAGAATGCACCATTCATTTATAGAACTCATTGCCACAAGATGTGGTATTATTGGTTAGTTGGTTGGTTTTATTTATAGGTCGCCTTTCTCCCAATAAGGGTAACCCAGGTTTCTTCGCAATATCAAAAAGACTAGAATTAAGAACATCATAAGTTAAAACATTAAAAAATAATTAACGTATACGCTGATTAAAATACAATTGAATAATTGAAAACATGTAAAATGTTAAAAACTATCTTAACTTTAAAAAATTGCATTTAGGGACTTGGTCATGATTATTAAAAGCCTGTCTGAAAAGATGAGTTTTTCGATGCTGTTGGTGGAAGGACAGAAGGAAGGGAGCCACCCTGATCTCTCGAGGGAGAGCGTTCCATCATCCGGGAGCTGCCACAGAGAAGGCCCTATCTCGTGTCCCCATGAACTGTGCCTGCATTGGCGAAGGGACCGAGAGAAAGTTCTCCTCGGATGATTGTAAGCACCAAAAAGGTTCATCTGGGGAGATACAGTCCTTCAGAGCTCCTGGACCTAGGCTGTTTAAGGCTTTATAGGTAATGATAATCATCACTATAGGTGATGTCAGTCACTACCAGTGATTTGATAAGAGGGACCCCATAACTTGTAAAATATCTCTGTAAAAACACCCTTGAGTCTTTTCCCTTGGAAGAGCACAGCAGGGGAGCATTGCATGCGTCCAACCGCTTTGACGTCCATAAGCCACGAGCATCACAGCTTTGGGTACGACTGCATTTCTGTGTTTTCAGTACCATCTGTGGAAAATTGTTCTCACTCACGAGAAAACACTCCATTAGAGTGCAAGGAAGCACCTTGCCCTCCTGCAAGGGGAAAGAGACGGTATTTTTAAAATAGCCTTGAGTCTACAAGACAAGCAAAGATCAACGTCCCTTTATGTAGCTGACGATGAGAACTTTGAGAAAAGAGAAAAAGCAGGGCTTGGAAAAGTTGCCTTCTTGATCCAGGATTGTGAGAGTTACGCGGACGCACAGGATCCATGCAGCGGGCACAAAAAGCAACTTGCCTGGACATCTTGGACAACACTGGTGAGGGTCGCTGATAGGATTTGGGCACTGAAGAACCGGGCATTGGATCTGGTAGCAATGAACCTTGGCATCCTGGACAACAAAAGGAAGAAATTTGTGTTAGGGTACAACTACATTGCCCGAATAAGTTAAGAGTTATTATTGTATGAATTCATGTAATGTGCTGTTTGTTACACTGTCCCTCCCCTCGTGGGGCAGCCTCAATTGAATAGGGTTGGTTCATTACATTGTTTTTTAATTGGCCTTAAAGAGACCCAGGGTTGGCACTCCGATCCCCCCATGGGTCTGTCCTGACTCCGACTGCATTCTCTCTTTGTCTTTAACTCTCTTGTCCAGAGTTAAATTTTGTTCTCTTTTCAAATTCTAAGTGGCATAGCGCTGCATCAACGCTGCAGACAGAAAAACTCCAGCACCGATGTGATGCAGCGCTAAAGTTGAACAGGCTATTTAATTTCTTTTTCAAAGGGGAACCCGTTCAGACAGCAGGTATAATTAGTAATTTCCTGATGGGACAGTATCCGGCACCACCGGAAACACATCACTAAGACAGTAGCACAGGGAATCACACACACAGAATACAAGGACATGACTAATTCCACAACCCAAAACTGGTTAAAAAAACAGTGCAATGTAAAGTGGTTTAAAATAGGCAGCCTCTTAATGAATGTTCAAAATGAGCCAATTCCTTAAAGAAAATTCATCGTTTTCCCTATGTTTCCAATAACGTCATGCAATCAGAAAATTTTGAATCGGTTTGCTTCATGCTAAACTCAAGAGGACTACATTGCAATGCAGTTGCACACTTCGTTCCAGTGGAAACATTGGCATAAATTTAATTGCTAGTTCCAAGTAAAGTGAACACATTGAATCATTGGGACTGGTGTAAATGTGCATTTCCTAAGATCCCACCAAATCAATGGGTCAACTCCAACTGGGAATAGCAATTGGATTTAGCCCATAGCTTTCACTGAAATTTATTTCAGTGTCTGGCTGCCCGAGTGGGCTTTTTAGATGGATTATTATGCACTTACTGCTTTTACAGTGTTTTTGGTATTGCTTGTGTTTATCATTTCTTAAAATAGTATTTGTTTGTTCCTCATATTTGTGTACTTATTGTTTTTAGCCTTTAAATATTGTCTTTTAATGAAGTAAGCCACCTTCGGTCCGTTTTTAAGGAGAAAGGCAGGATAATTTTTCCGAAGTAAGCCACCGGTCCGTTTTTAAGGAGAAAGGCAGTATAATTTTTTTTTGAATAAATAGATAATAAATAAATTCAACCTAGTTCTGCTCTCCAGCATGGAATTGAACAGGTGATGCGAGAATGTAATTTACCAGTTGTTACTTCAGTACAATAAGAAAAAATATTCTAAATATTTTGAGAATATTCTGAGAATACAGGAGAAATCAATACCAACAGATCTGTCCACCCCAGTCTAGAAATGCAAAAATGACCCTTTTGGGGATTTTAGCTCCCTGCAGATGGAAAAATCTTTCCATTAAGGAGTAACATCTGCATTTTTTTAAACTTCAAAGTCTTTCCATCTGAAATTTTTCCACAACAAAGAAATGCAGAAAATGCTAGGCTTTGCATGTTTTTATTATTCTGCTCTGAAAAATTACTCTAGTTTTGGACTATAGCCTCCAAGAGGGTCCACCTAGCTCAGTTATGGAAACTTCCCTGCACAAAGTAACTTTTCCAAGCGCAACTTTTTATGGAGAAAATGGGAGAATCTACCTACACAATCAATCAATCAATCAATCAATCAATCAATCAATCAATCAATCAATCAATCAATCAATCAATCAATCAATCAATCAATCAATCAATCAATCAATGTTGCTCAATGCCATAGTTTAGCCTCAGTATGAAGCATTTTATGCCATATGCAGTATAACTTCCCCAATGAAAACATGGAATGGAGTCAAATCTTTTTTAAAATCTGAGCTACTTTCTCTTAGTTCTGTTACAGTACTTTTCTTGCCCCTGTGGTATCCACTGGAATGTGCTTTTGGTGTTGCATTCCTTTTTACTACTACTTAATTTTCTTCTTCCCATCTTGAACTATTGATTTCACTGAATAAAGCTGTAAAACTGTCATGATATATTAGCTGTTTTTATCTTGTCTGTTGTGAGCTGCCCAGAGTAGACTATGTCTAGATGGGCAGGATATCAGTGCAATAAATAAATAAATAATAAATAAATAAATTATAATTTCTGTGCTCAATTCATTTGCTTATTGACTGCTCAATGCTCGCTCATTGCTCTGACAATATTTTAGACAATTAGTTAGTCAGACTCCTAGCTGACTAACTAATTGTCTAAATAGCAAACCATGTTTCACGTGCGGAGGTTAATTACATGGGATACTCTGGCCTGATCAGCACCGTCTCAGATGAATGCCGGTGGTCTGGAAAGACCCGAGCGTTTTGAGCAGATTTCACAGGAGATTGTGTACAGGCAGGTGGGATCCTGACCCTTTTAGACGGGCGTGGGTGTCTTTTGATTCAGACAACTGGGCAAGGTGACCTTCTGGATCCTCCCACCCTTGACAATGCTATCTGCAGTCAAAGCCTAGTTTTGTTGTTATCAGGGACGGTGCCCCAAAGCTGCAGGACTTGTTGTCCGGTCAGACTTAAGTCGTGCAGGGGGCTCAACTGGGACTTAATTTCTGCTTCCTCCCCCCCCTCCATGACTTGGACTTGACTCAGAACCGAACCACCCCTCCCTTCTTTCCTGGGGAAAAAAGCTTGTTCTTAATAGGGACTCCGGACTTGGCACCAAAGGCTCGGACTTGGGACTCAGACGCAAAGGTTTGCCAGCATCCCTGGCTGCTATCGTTCATTCTCTCCTGTCTGCACATTTTTGATACACAGACCTGGGAAACAGAATAATTTAAAGGTTTTGGAAGGTACCTGGGAGCAGGTGCACCTGAGGCAGTACATCACCCCTTGAGGCTCCAGGTAAGGGTGCCAGCTCTCCCCTGCTCGGTACAGCTTGCCATGAAATGTACAGGAAGCTTCCAGGCCTGGAAATGAAATGTCGTTGTCCTTTTATTGGATTCATGGACAAATAGATAACATTTCTTCATAACATGAACTCAGAATCGCTAATCACTGCCATCATCATCATCATTGCCGTAGAACAGTTGTTACAATAAACACAGTTCAGAGTATAACATTTAATTTCACATATTCCTACTAAGAGCAGGGTGAAACATTTCAAAAATTAAAAAATAGGAATTTTTATTCACATTAGAAGCTCAGTGTAATAATAGAATCATATAATAATTGAGTTGGAAGGAGCCTCTGAGATGGAGCATACAGATATTTTTGGGTGAAAGTTCTGTCTGTCTGTCTGTCTGTCTATCTATCTAATCTATCTATCTCTTCATTCTCTGTCTGTCTGTCTATCCGTCTATCCATTTATCCATCTCTCTGTCTGTCTGTCTGTCTATCTCTTCCTTTTTTCTCTATCTACAGTATCTATCTGTCTATCTGTCTGTCTGAGCAGGACAAAAAAATGCTTTCCTGATTTTTTAAAAACTCCACCACGGAATAGGAATGTACAGGTGAGCCGGCCACATCAATTTATTTTATTTACCGTATTTATTTATTTTATTTATATCCCACCTATCTGGTCGTGTCAGGACCACTCTAGGCGGCTAACAACATTAAAATCATACAATAGATATACACATAAAAACAATTTTACAAGGTGACTCAGAGCATCCCAGGACACTTAGGAAATCGGGGCATGCTTGGACCTAAATACCATCACAATCTATTCATATTTCCGACAGAACAATATCAAAAATGACCCAGAGCAATCCCAGAAAAATTGGGATGGGTCCCACAGCCAGTGTCTGAAGGACTCTGGAAAAAGCAGTCATGCTCAAAAAGGGAATAAAAAATCCAAGCTCTAGTTAAACTCATCTTTTTTTGGCTCCCCCAAGACAATAATGAGGGGGAACAAAACTTTATATCCCATGCTCAGTGGCATCCTTGTTAACGGCTGCCCAACATCGTACTAAACTAAGCAAGGAGGTGAGGCTCCGTGTCCAGAGTCTGCCTTTAAATCCCCAGGAAGTACACATGTTCGCATCAACTTCTGCCAGAAAGAACAAGGGAAACCCTGAAAGCCACAGTCTTTGGTCTTGCCTTGAGGTCTGCATAAATAAACTCCTTTCTGGTCTCATCCAGGCCATTTTCGTGTAAAGGGCTGGGTCACACCTCGGCTGCTAAAAGTGCCGTTCTCGGCATAGCTATGGGTCTAAACCCACACGATGGAGAGGACAGAGCTGAACCTGCTTAACTAAGAGAAGAGAGACACAATAGTTCTCTGAACAACTTGGTCTTGCCTTGAGGTCTGCATAAATAAACTCCTTTCTGGTCTCATCCAGGCCATTTTCGTGTAAAGGGCTGGGTCACACCTCGGCTGCTAAAAGTGCCGTTCTCGGCATAGCTATGGGTCTAAACCCACACGATGGAGAGGACAGAGCTGAACCTGCTTAACTAAGAGAAGAGAGACACAATAGTTCTCTGAACAACTCAGTTCTCTATTCTTGGCATAACTGTGGGTGTAAACCCACACAATGGAGAGGACAGAGCTGAACTTGCTTAACTAAGAGAGACACAATAGTTCTCTGAACAACTCAGTTCTCTCTTTGGTCCAGAGGGGAGGATTTTTAATGTGTGGGCAGAAATGGAAGGGAAGCGGATGCTATCCAAGAATTTAGGGAAACACTGTGAGATTAGGAGCTGTTTGAATCAACCTCCTCAGGTGTTGGTGGACTCCCCAGCGCTTAGCAATATTTACTGCAAGGCTGGAAATTCATCTGCCGGTAGCCACATGCCGCCCTACAGATTTTGCAGCTGGTAGGCAAGCTTGACTGGACAACCGCCTCCGAGATGCCCTGCCCGGGACTCTGAAATTCTATGATTTCCTTCAAATATCCATAGAACTGGGCTGGGCCAAACTAGGAAATGTTACTTTTTGGGACTCCAACTCACAGAATTCTCTAAGCTTTGGGCTGGTTGCTCTTAATGAGGGAAGATAGGAGAGCAATTTTCAAAGACTTGAAAGGCAATCATCCAGAGGAGAGTTCCGCTGAAGATCAGGAAAAACTTCTTAACTGTTAGAGCAGTACGACAATGGAACCAATTGAAAGGCTGTCCTACAGAGGAGGGGCAGGATCTGTTCTCAATCATCCCAGAATACAGGACACATAACATTGGCTTCAAGCTACAGGAAGCCAGATTTAGGCTGAAGATCAGGAAAAAAACGTCTTAACTGTTAGAGCAGTACGAAAATGGAAGCCATGACTTCAGGAGAAAAAAAAAATGGGCCACCCTCTGTCAGATCTGCTTTGAGATGAATGCCAGCCTTGAGCAGGGGGTTGGACTGGATGGTCTTAGAGGCCCCTTTCCAACCCTGTTATTCTACCATTCTATGATTCTAATTGCTCTAAAAGCAAAGGAGACAGCCCGTCTCAATCATAGACAGGTAAGAGAAGCAAACTTTCCTACAGGCATTAAGAATGGCTATTCCATCAATAGTCATTGTGATCAACCATAAACCATTCAGATATTCCCATTCAGCTATTCCAGATAACCTATAAAGCAGTGGTTCCCAGCCTTGAGACTCCCGCTCCCAGAAATCACGGCCACTACATTTGGTGGTGAAGGTTTCTGGGAGCTATAGTTCAAGAACATCTGGGCGCCCAGGGTGGGGAATTGCTGCTAGAGAGGGCTATAGTCTCACTCAAATAATGTGGCCACACAATTTATCATCCATCTGTACCCATTCCATGGCAGAGTACTTGTGGCTACTTGTCAGAAGGTAAGAGCGAGTGTCCTAAGCTGATCTGTTGTTGCCATAAAACTGCACCTCTCATTTACAGCTTGGAATCTGGAAATCTCTCCCTTGAGTCTCTAAAAAGAAGGGGGTTATTAATGTGAATTACATGCACAGCCCATTTGAAACTTGCAGAAGTGTTTGAATGAGGTCCTTGGCAGAAGAGTGGAACACCCGTTGCTTTTCTAGAGCAAAACATCCCCAGCACGGCACCCCACTAAGATGAATGAAGCGGAGCCTGAGAGATTGATTCCAACGGGTCTCACACCTTATTAAAAGAGAGGTACCCTGTGGCTCACGCCAAAGGAATATTAGAAGAAGAACAGGTATCTCTCAAGATGCATTACTCTCTCATTCAACAAGTCAAAAATTTCCTCTAAACTTTTCTGCTGATTTCCTTTTCCTTCCCCATCACCTCCTCCTCTTGTGCTATGTCTTTCTAGACTGTAAGCCTAATAACAGGGAGTGCCTTGTTGATTTATTTTCTTTTTTTTTTTATCATTGAACTCTTCCACTGTAAAGCATTAAATGCTCCCAGCAAACCAAGATTTCTGCCAATGCTCAGAAATGGAACTTTTGGGGACTTCTCCTCCCAGAACCCAAAGCCAGTGTATCTACAGGTACAAAATATAATGTTCCTGAGGTCCAATTTCTGCTGCATGCAATTCTAATAATCTCAGTGATCGCAATAGGTCAGCAAGGGCTAGTAATACACCGAGCTCCTCATTGCCTGTTCTGTCTTTTCTCTTCATTCATCTCTTGTACAAATGATTCAATGAGCTTTTATCTTCTGTTTTACTTACTGGCATCCGTTTCCAAACTAAAATAAAGGAGCCAGCACCCCAGGCCAAAAATAATCTCCAGGAATTCTGTAACCATTCTGCCGGCTCAAGAGGTGCGAACAGGAGCGAGGAAGAGAAAAGGAAGAAGGAAACCGTCCAGCAAAGGTGTGTGTCCAAATATCTTCTCTTGGAAGAGTTTCCGGGTCCCGGGACCCGAGAGGACGACCAGGGAGAGAGGCTACGCGGGTGTCAGCTGGCGGTGGCCCACTCCGTGCATCCACCTAGGTGAGCGGTCCCTCGGCGGTCCCTCAGCAACTCTCTCCTACAGCCGCAGCGTGATGCCAAGGCTCTGCTGTGGTCCTTCCTCTCGTGAAAGCAAAGAACCGGGACTGCAGTTTTTAAAAATCAGCTTTTTAAAATATCCCCAGCAAGTTTTCTTCAGCAAAGCAAGCAGGAGGGGCTGAAAGCTGGAGAAGGTTAACTCTTCCTTCCCTGCAACCGACTCTCTTTCTACAGGAAAAATTCATGACATGTCAATGTGGATAAAGATCATTGCTGTCCTGTATTTTCTTTCATGGTCTCCATAATATCGTGGCACATGGTGTGCCTGGGCAGAGAAAAGCCAGTGGCCCGTAAGGCATTTACACACAAACACACACACACACAACAGCCCTGACAAGCAGCCAAAGCCTCTGAGAAGCTGAGACGGAGGTACCGTAGCAAACAAACTCCTGTTTCTCAGCTCCACTACCTGAGCACAGTTTAGGGAAAAGGCCCCAGATTTAACCAGTTGATGCGAACATGTGTACTTTTTTTGTTAAACAAGAGGACAAGCCAAAGAGGCAGCAAGAGAAAGAAAAAGTTTACAAGTAATTGTTTAATGTTAATGGTGGGAGAGCGATGATATTGGCCTGCGATACTGGCAGCTTTGGCATTATTGGGACGCAAATGGAAAGCAAGCTCAGTGGTTTAAGTATTTGGCTTCTGATGTTTCCCTGAAGGTCTGTAAAGTTTTAGAGGGCTCTTAGGAAGGATTCAGCAATTGGTACCTCTGCTCTGATGGAGAAATGAATGAGAGGACTCAGGACACCAATATTTATTTCCCCAGCTTTGGCAAGGAAACTCACCCGGGGGGAGGAGTAGAACAGGTAAAACCACTCGAAAAACTGTTCTCGATCATCCCAGAGCGCAGGACATGGAATAAGGGGATCAAATGACAAGAAACCAGATTTAGGCTGAAGATCAGGGGAAAAACTTCCTAACTGTTAGAGCAGTATGACGATGAAACCAATTGAAAGACTGTCATACAAAGGAGGAGGAGGATCTGTTCTCAGTAACTGCAGAGTGCAGAACATGTAAGAATGGGCTCAAGCTATAGGAAGGCAGATTTTGGTTGAATGTCAGGAAAAATCTCTTCACTGTTAGAGCAGTACAACGATGGAACCAATTCTGGGGGGGGGTGAACACTCAAACACTGGAGGCCTTCGAGGGAAAAAATGGACAGCCACCTGTCAGATCTGCTTTGATCTGGATTCTCGCATGGAGCAGGGGACGATTAAATTGACGTCTTCCAAGTGGCTGCCATTGCTATCGAACATACCACCTCCTACACCTTAGAAGACCATCAGCTTTGAAAAGGGAGTGGCAGAAATGTGAGGCAAATCAACTATTACCCATACACAAGGACTGCCGTGATCAAATATTTAGACTCAAATCTCTGAACCCACTGGACAGCACTTAACCGGATCTGAACTACCCATTGCAGATGCCAACATTGGAAACATCAATGGGGGCTGGACAATCATCCCCATTGTGACTGTGGGTATGTCCCACAAACTTTACGTCACATTGCTTTTGAAGGCCCCCTTAGAAGGTTCCCTGGCCCCTTGCAAGAATTGCATCATCTTGAGGGCACCGTGGCTCCACGGTTAAATGATTTAGATCACCGGCCTTAGGCTTAGTCGCTCTTGCAAGTACTCTTACATAATTTATTTCACTAATGATTCATGATTCATACGTGTTTTTCAAATCTCGTAGCATTTATTCTTTTAACACTTTGCATTTTATAACTATTTTATATTGTCTTTGTGAAGTCCTGTGCAATAATGCTGTACTCCATTGTGCCATACGAAACAAAGACATTGAGCAGGGGTGGTTGGACCCGATGGCCTTAGAAGCCCATTCCAACTCAGTTATTCTATGATTCTAACGGAGAATCTGTGGGATTGCACTTTGGATGTTTTGCGTACCATTAAAACAGCCTCTGGGGAGAGATTGGCTCTAAGTTTAGAGGAAGGTTGTTGTTGTTTAGTCGTTCAGTCATGTCCGACTCTTTGTGACCCCATGGACCAAAGCACGCCAGGACCTCCTGTCTTCCACTGCCTCCTGGAGTTGGGTCAGTCATGTTGGTCACTTTGGTGACACTGTCCAACCATCTCATTGTGGCTATCAAGGGAAGGACCCTAACCCTTGACAGCCACAAAGGCACTACACACCCTCTGAACAGGCTTTCATAGGGCTTCTAAGTTCTTGCCTTGCATGCTTTTCCAGTGGCAACACTCCACCCCTGTCCCTATGCAACCTGTCTTCTTCAAGGAGATGAGCCACCTGGTTGGGAGTTTTCTGCCCAATTTAATTTGCTAAACGCTGGAGAGTCCCTGAGCAGGAATGCCAAGAGTGGCCTGCTGGAGCCGAGCCACGTTGCCCTGAGAATGAGCAAACACCCCTGGCAACCTGTCCCCCCCTGAAGCTTCTGCCGGCAGCAGGGCAAACTTGCAGAGAACACACAGAGGGAGAGAGTTTATGTCTGCAGCCCTCATTCATCTATGCTTTGTTCTGTCTTCCATTATTCCCCACCTAGCTAGGCCAACATCCCTTCTCGGGCAAGGCGCATCTTTGCAGTAATTGTCTCCCATCCCCAAAATCTGCTAATTGCCTTTATTAATTGTTGTTATACGGCTTCCCCCTACTTGCCTTTTTTATTTCAGCAAAACTGTTCCTGAACTGAACCAGACACATGCTTGGTGCATTAGGGGCAGAAGAGAGAGGTGGAGGGTGATGGCCATCATCCTAGAGCGGTGGTTCCCAACTTGAGTCCCTAGATGTTCCTAGACTACATCTCCCATCACTCTTGACCAGTATAGGTGATGGTGAAGGCTTCTGGGAAGCACATGATAAGAACACCTGGGTGACCCAACGTTTGGGAAGTGCGGCGCTACGGAAAGGATTCCAAACCTTGGTCCCCAGATGTTCTTGGACTACAACTCACAGAAGCCTTCACCACGAGCTGGGCTGGCCAGGATTTCTGGGAGTTGTAGTCCAAGAACATTTGGGGACCCCCGGTTGGAGAACCACTGCTCCAGCGGTCAATCTCTCATACACGACCAAAGCCCGAAGGGGTGCACCAACGCTTGTTGGTCTTCTGATTTTGGACCTTACCTATCTATTTTATGTTATAACTTCAGCTTTCCTCCAATTCGGGGTAAAAAATGGGACTCAAGGTGGCTAACAGATAGAACTAAAAACAGATTGATTGATTGATTGATTGATTGATTGATTGATTGATTGAATTAATTAATTAAAGGGGGAAACCCTATCGAATCATCAAACTATGGAAAGACCTGGGCCCCATTCAAAAGTCCATATAGAAGCCCCATAGATAGATAGATAGATAGATAGATAGATAGATTGATTTAATTAATTAATTAATTAAAGGGAGAAACCCTATCGAATCATCAAACTACGGAAAGACCTGTGCCCCATTCAAAAGTCCATATAGAAGCCCCCACTCTCCATGGCTTCTGACTACTAAGCACGATCAGACAGTGGGGTCTAGTTAGGGTGAGGTTCAAGTGGAGGAGAGGTTTCCACCTGCAAAGAAATGAATAGGGGGTGGTGATTTGTAACTGCTATTATTTACTGATGCTGCGATTCCGCTTCTCGATTCTGCCTTCTCCTGTAACCTTCAGGTCTCTATTTGCAAGCTTGCAGAATAGCCATTAAACCCCTTTCCCCTCCAGGATGGAAATAGGGTTACAATGGACTCATCCAATCGTGGAATGGGCTTCCTAGTGAAAATTTTAAGGAGCACAATGATACGGAGCGGAGGACTCCTTGATGGAGGTACGCAGGACGATGCTCTTTAAGAGACGTGCTTAACGGGAAGAGGTATCTCCTCTGCCAGTGAGTGGGGTAGAGATCTCGCCAGAACAGGCGGGGAGAAGCTGATGAGCTTTAGATCATGAATGCCGTGAGTCTTTTCCTTCTTCAGTTTTATTTTAATTTTTCTACAGTAACAGTTCATCGTCTGTACCACAGTTTGCTCCTGGTCTTCTTCTGGCAGAGAGAACTGAGCTTCTCTAGCTTCTGCTTCCATCTATTAGTCAGTTTGATTCCGAAGGCCTAGGTGTCACAAGTAAAATAGGCATCCATAGCCCTCCAGGGTCAGCATGCAGGTGGATATGCCAGCTGGCAGAGAACAGATAGATAGAACCAAGACTGGAAAACCTCCTGCCTGGATCGCAGTTCACCAAAAGTCAAATCACTCTACAAGGAAAATCAACAAGGACGACTCGAAGGGGTTTTCGGTCCCTCGTTGGGATGTTATTGTTTCTCACCAACACCTGGGGATTTTTGGCAGTGGGTAGTCTTCTAAATATGGAAGTTCCACTTAGGGCTCATTGGGTCCTTCTGGTATCACAAGGGAGCAAGATATATTTTTTCTCCCTCTCTTTGCTGCCTTTGAAATGCAGATGGGGATCATGTCCTCTCTTGGTCAAATATTCTTCTGATATTAAGAACACTGAAAGGTTGTTCTAGGTTTTTCGGGCTCTTTGGCCGTGTTCTGAAGGTTGTTCTTCCTGATATTTCGCCAGTCTCTGTGGCCGGCATCTTCAGAGGACAGCAACCTGTACTCTGGTGTAGTTGGCTTGGGAGTGCAGTATTTATGATTGGGAGATAGGCTTTTGTCTTTTCCTGTAGATGGGTGATTAGTGTGTATTGTTGTGGGTGTATTGTTGTGCTAAGGGGAAGAGATTATCTGTTCCTGTGGTTGATGGGTGTCATTAGCTGGTCTTTTGTGTGTAGTGATCCCCTGTC